TTCGGCAGCTCGAACACGGACCTGGCTGCCTTGCGGCCACGGGCATGTCGTGGGCGGCAAGCTGGGTCAAACATCTTCGGCGGCATGAATTCCAAATTTGGGAGAAAAAAAACGTGCAAGTTGGCCAAATTAAAGCACTGCAGGTGTCCATGCATGCAAGTGTAAGGGCTTGAGTTCGGGCATAGTTTTAAACCTTCTCTTGTGGCGATTGCCGAACCCGCTGCAAAAGGGTGACTTCAGACAACTGGGCGGCCGTGCAGGCAAAGCAAACGTGCTGCAGCATAGCCGATGAAAGTCAGCCGGTGGCTCTAAAAGTGCCACGCAAAAGTGCTCTTCGCACCTGGCCCTTCTGACCGGTTTAGGGTTTAGGGTTTAGGGTTTAGGGTTTAGGGTTTAGGGTTTAGGGTTTAGGGTTTAGGGTTAGGGTTTAGGGTTTAGGGTTTAGGGTTTAGGGTTTAGGGTTTAGGGTTTAGGGTTTAGGGTTTAGGGTTTAGGGTTTAGGGTTTAGGGTTTAGGGTTTAGGGTTTAGGGTTTAGGGGGTGGTTCTTAGGTACTTGCGTGGTGCGTGGCCCCTGAATGTGGGCCCTGACTTGGGGAACCTTTACATTCCCGTTGTAAAGCCCTTTCAACCTAAGCCCATACTTCAGAACCGTTTAAGGAAAGTAAGGGACCATCTTAAGCACGTAACTTCCCTTAGAATGGTGGCTCCTTCAGCTGGCATCACACAGTAATCCTCACCCTGCTCCAGACACACACGCAGTCTTCAACACAAGAGGGTACTGTCCAATTTTGGGGGCATGCCCGACTACTGACAGGCCTTCGCCGAGGGTCTAAAAGGGAGGCAACCGAGATCGTACATCCAAAATCCTTAAATAAAGCCCAACACTGACATCTGTCAACGCAAAACCGTAAACCCTAGACTCTAAACATTGGGGGGTGGGGTGGGGGGGGGGCGTTGGTCTGCTAAACCCTAGAACCCAGCTCCCTGGCCCTAAACCCTTAACCCAAAACCCTATAAAGCATAAACCCAAACCCTAAACTTAAATTCTAGACCCAACAACAACAAAAAGACATCCTGAATCCCTAAACCCGAAACCCTAAACCTTAAACCCTAAACCATTCCTAAGGAGCTAACCAAAAAACCGAAGTCAACTTCCGAAACCCCAGAAGGCAGGCCAGGGAACCCTAAACCCTAAACCCTAAACCCTAAACCCTAAACCCTAAACCCCAAACCCTAAACCCTAGTACCTGCAAGGAAGGAGGACGGAAGGCCGAAACTCCGCCACATCCTCGACCCTCAAAACCCCTTACCCGCAACCTGTTGGAGGAGTTTTTGGTCAGAAAGGTCTAAAAAAAACAGCCCTAAACCCCAAACCCCAAACCCTAAACCCTAAACCCTAAACCCTTAACCTTAAACCTTAAACAATGTTTATGGAGTTTTTGGTCAGAAAGGTCAGGCAGTTGGAACAAATCTGGACGCCTCCTCGCCATCAGGAGCAAAGAGGACGCCACGTAGACTACTGGTGCAGATGCCTCCAACGAGCCGGCAAGCTTTAGGGCTCGTATCCCTAAACCCTTAGCCCTAAGCCCTAAACCCTAAACCATGGCGGGACCCCTAAAGTAGACCCCCAAAAAGTAGGAGCCCCTTATACTAAGGACCCCAATAAGGTCCCCCTCATTTCGGAAACCACTGTAAAGATGAAAGGTACCAACGCCGCCGACCACCTCTCTGAGGCCCAAACAAGCTCGATCTTCTGTTGTGGGTTTAAGGTTTAGGGTTTAGGGTTTAGGGTTGTAAGGGGAGCAGGGGGAGGGGCAATACAGGATTCTGCAGGATCCCATCATGAGTCGTCAGGGCACAAGCCATGAAGGTCAACGGGTTTAGGGTTTAGTTGAACGGATAAGGGGGCAGGGTTCCGGGTGTAGCGGTAGCTGCATGCAGGGTGCCACAGCTATAGTAGTCCAAAGTTTCTACCCGAAGCCCCCCCTCATAAGCCCCCCCCTGACTCTACATGCTAAACCTAAACCCCTAAACCCACAACCCTAAAAACTCAGACCGCGAAACAACACTGAACGCTCATCACATCTCAACACCCTGCCCTTCAACCCCTAACCCCTCCACCGTTAAACGCCCAAACCCCTCAGGCCCCAAAACCTTAAAACTGCTTATTTGAGGCTTTAGGTTTTGGGAATGGGGTTTAGGGATTCGGGCGTTAGACTCTAAACCCTGACCTCTAGCCCCTAACCCCTAAACCTTAGAATTTCCGGGGCCAAGGATGGTACCAGGATCGTGGGAGGCGCCCGGACCACAGCGAAACATGCACCACCAAGGCAGGCCCAAGGCCGCCAGCGTGAGAGGACGATGGCTTAAGACCTTAAGGTTGGACCTCCGAGGCTTGATTGTAGCGTTTAGGGTTTAGGGTTTTAGGGTTTAGGGTTTTAGGGTTTAGGGTTTTAGTGTTTTAGGGTTTTAGGGTTTTAGGGTTTTAGGGTTTTAGGGTTTTAGGGTTTAGGGTTTGGGGTTCAGGTGGCGTTTAGCTAGGTTGGCCCACATGCCCCAACGGCCCAGCTAGTTCAGGATGGGCTGAAAGGGTTTAGGGTTTGGGGTTGAGGTCTACAAAGACAGAAAAGCTCGAGTTTCCTTCGCGTCCAGACATGGACCAGTGGGTGCGTATAGCAGTTGGGACCATAAACATCTAAGTGCCTAGGGCTTAGGGTTTAGGGGTTTAGGATTTTGAAACCCTAAGCCCAGAACCCTAATTAACACTCGAAACCCCTGAAACGCTAAACCCAACACTCTAAAGAACCCACTAAACCCTAAACCCTAAACCCTAAACCCTCCTAAATCCCTAAGAACCTGAACTCCTAGATTCCGTGTAGGATGCGGAGTTGCAGGATGCGCATGTGGGGTTTATGGTTGTAGAGCATTGAGGGTTTAGGGTTGCCTCAGGGGCGGCCCCTATATGTTTTTAAAAAAAAGCATAATCACCCTAAACCCTACACCCTACACCCTAAACCCTAAACCCTAAACCCCGAACTAAAAATGTTTAGGGCCTAGGGGCTTGTTAAAGCTTGCAGGTGAATTAGGACACGGAACCACCTGCTACAGTTGGTTTCGGGTTTGGGGTTTGGGGTTTAGGGTTTGGGGTTTAGGGCTAGGGTTTAGGGTTTAGGGTTTAGGGTTTAGGGCTAGGGTTTAGGGTTTTGGCGCTCCTCCATCTCTCCCTCATGGCCGGTTCTCCTTGAAACCTCTAGGGCGTGGAGAAATGCACAGCACCGCTTGAGGAAACCGGGGGAATTCCGAACTCGCAGCCCTGCGAACCCACGAAGGCCTCTAAGACTCTAAATTGAGATGCTCCCCTATACTAACAGTCCCTAATAAGGGATTACAGTACCCCCCCCCCCCCCATGATGATCCCTATTAAGGACTGTTAGTATAAGGGGGAGCATCCCAACCTCTGAGCCCTAAACCCTCTAGACCTAAACCTCGACGGCTCCTAGTCTGCCTGCTTGTGCAGGGTTTAGGCTTTAGGGTTAGGGGTTAGGGTTTAGGGTTTGCGGTTTAGGGCTAGGGTTTAGGGTTTCGGGTTTAGCCTCAACAGTTTCAACTCCAGCGCGAAAAATCCATACCATACTTCCACACCCCCCCCCCCCCATACCCAAGGAAATGAAAGCTGAATCTTGCAGATTTGCGCTGACTCAAGAACGCGCAAGTCTAAGAGTCAGGCGTTCCAACAGTACTAATTATTGGAGAAGCGAGAACGAACACCCCACACCCCAAAGCCTTGGTACTTTACTAACCCTAAACCCCTGAACCCTGAACCCTAAACCCTAAACCCTAAACCCTGAACCCTGAACCCTAAACCCCTAAACCCCTAAACCCCTAAACCCTAAACCCTAAACCCTAAACCCGAAACCCCTGAACCTACTCCTCCGGACTTCCCCCTTCAAAACTCGCTCACCACCGGAGCTTGCCATCGAGGTTGTACTTCTTCAGTAGAGTCCTTGCCCGAACTGTCGGGCTCAAAGGTGCGGGGGTTTAAGGTTTAGGTCGCCTAAGCGCTGAATCCAAAAAGCCTACGGGTTTAGGGTTTAGGGTTTAGGGTTTAGGGTTTAAGGTTTAGGGTTTAGGGTTTAATGTAAGCACTGTGACGGGAAACCGCGACTGCGGAAAACCACGGGACGGTATGACCGGGTATGCCCGGGTATGACCGGGTATGCCCGGGTATGCCCGGGTATGACCGGGTATGACCGGGTATGCCCGGGTATGACCGGGTATGACCGGGTATGACCGGGTATGACCGGGTATGACCGGGCGTACTCGGGCGTACTCGGGCGTACTCGGCCTGCAGTCGCGGAACGCGGCCGCAATGTAAGGTTCTACCCAAAGGCTCCAATGTAGTTCCTTTTTGGGCTAGGTATAGGCGATTCTCGTGTACTACCCCAAAAAGGTACTACATAGGAGCCCTTGGGTAAACCCAAAATCCAAAAACCTAAAACCCAAAGGCGGGAGCCTCAACCCAACAGCCTGAACTTTATAGGCCACCTTCGGAATATTCTGCTGTGAAAAGCACGTGATGGAACATGATCTTGTGTTGTATGGTATGCTTCTGTATACAACAGCCAACTATCATAGGAAAACAACTTGAGCGTTCATAGATGCACTAAAGGAATGAAAGAAAGCAAGCAAGGTGTTGAAGTGCATGTTTAGGGAAGTGGGAACTACTTGGAAATAAGTGGTGGGTTGCTTTGGGGAGGGGTCAAGAGTCCACTTTCGACAGCCTCACACCCTAAATTCTGGGGTTTTTCGGTTGCGGCTTGGCAAGGCATCCTAAACACTACTGGGCGTCCCTTGGAATTCTACGGCAGGACAACTACGCATAGCGCGGGCCGCTGCACAAGAGCACAGTAACCCCCAAATAGGGCGCGTAGGTACCTTCGGCAAGATGTCGCAAATTCCGAAACTCTACTCGAAGTAGTTGTCAGGCACGAGTAGTCCACTAGACCAGCACCAACCACAGCGAAATCACCTCCGGACACGCTCTGCGCTCACTCATGTTGTTAAACCCTGGGGTATCACCCAAACCTGCGACCCTTCAGCTTGAACAGCCCCAAGCAGAAGATTTAAGAACTGTTGTCAGGGTTTAGGGTTTCGGGTTACTGGGCAGTACCATCGACGCCACAGGCACGCATAGTACGGCTTGAGCTTCTCCTTGGCTGTTTTGGTTTTGCGCTTCGGGTGTGTTGTCCTTTTTGTCGGGGCCCTTCTTTTCAACCCTAAACCCTAAACCCTATAAACCCAAGAGGCGTTTCAACGAAAAAGCCTGCAATGTCAGGCCCTCAACCTGAACCCATTGAATGGCGCCTGAAGCACATCCTCCGAACTGATTCCCAGGAATCAACAAGGTTTAGGGTTTAGGGTTGAGGGTTGAGGGTTTAGGACTCCCAAGCCAAAGCCCAGAGGCCAGCCTCAGCCCCCTTCACAAATCCTGAACACTTATCCTCTTCGGGCTTAGGCTTCAAGATGTTGAAAAACCCTAAACCCTAAACCCTAAGCCCTAAACCCTACCCCCTAAACCCCAAACCCCAAACCCCAAACCCTAAACCCTAAACCCTCAACCCTAAACCCTAAACCCTAAACGGCCCTAAACCCTGTTGATTCCAAGCCTCTGGAAATCCTAAGCCCGATACTTGGAGGTTCATGGGTAGTTACAAGTGGGGGTATAAGCAGGGCAACTGTAGTTCTAGCTGGCTACAACCTTCGAGGGCACCTGTAACCCTACTTAGAACTAGCCATGCCCTAAACCCTAAACCCTAAACCCTGAACCCTAAACCCTAAACCCTAAACCCGAAACCCGAAACCCTGGCTCAACCCAAGCTCCACGTCTGGCACCGAGTCCGCCTTGGAGTACAGGTCGAACTTGTTGAACTCCTGCGGCTTCCGGGGCTAGGGTCTATAGGGTTTAGGGTTTAGGGTTTGGGGTTTAGGGTTTGGGGTTTAGGGTTTGGGGTTTATGGTTTGGGGCTTGGGGTTGCGCGTTTGGCTTGTTTGGGTTTGGGGTTTAGGGTTTAGGGTTTGGGGTTTAGGGTTTGGGGCTTAGGGTTTGGGGTTTAGGGTTTGGGGTTTAGGGTTTCGGGTTGGGGTTTAGGTTTGGGGTTTAGGGTTTGGGGTTGAGGGTTTGTGGTTTAAGGTTTGGGGTTTTGGGTTTGGGGTTTAGGGTTTCGGGTTTAGGGTTTGGGGTTTAGGGTTTGGGGTTTAGGGCCTAGGGTTTGGGGTTTAGGGTTTGGGGTTTAGGGTTTGGGGTTTGGGGTTTAGGGTTTGGGGTTTGGGGCTTCTGGGCTTGAGTGTTCACAGGGTTGAGGGCCTGGGAGGGTTAGGATCTAGGGGTTTGCTAGAGATTTGGGATCGAGGGCTTCTTTTGCACTTGCAGGAAGAAGAGGGGGTTTTAGGGTTTAGGGTTTGCGGTTTGGGGTTTGCCTGTGACACTGTCTACCTGCAGAGTGATCAATCTCCATTATGGTGCTGGGATTGCTTTTTGCTAGCATGTTTCTACGCACTCTTGAAGGGGCCCTGCACGTAAAAAATGGACTCCCCATGTATACACTCACCAACAAGACAAGGAGCCCTCCCTATACACACTCTCCAATGCCAGTAATATTCATACTCCTTCATATAGCTTCGGGCATCAACAAAAAATCAAAAAACGGCTGTCAGGCTCAACGCTGTAAGCCCTAAACCCTAAACCCTAAACCCTAAACCCTAAACCCTAAACCCTAAACCCTAAACCCTAAACCCTAAACCCTAAACCCTAAGCCAACAATTGCAAAGGTGTGTGTGTGTGTGCAAACCTGGAGATGCAAGGACTAAGTGCCAGCGCGGGTGGCAGATTCTACTGTATCAAGGCGTTGGGGATTTTGGCTTGGGAACTATGGCCTGGGGATCTTTCCAGCGTGAGGATTGATAGTTTAGGGTTTGGGGTTTAGGGATTGGGGCTTGGGGAAACCCGAAGCCCTAAATCCTAAACCCTAAACTCTAAACCCAGGACGATCTGGACGAGCTATGAAGAGGAACAGCGCTTACGCAGAAGCCTCAAACACAGAATCCCCAAATCCCATGTAGGGACATGGGGTAGGGACATGGGGCGCGAGACGCCAAACGATTCATGAAATGTCGGGGGCTTGTAAAACCCAACTTGGTATTCGATTTGAGGCGATTTGCGGGGCCTTGGCTTCTAGATTTGAGCTCTTTCCTTCCCCGATATGCTCCAAGGGCGAAAAACTTAAATGGAGGCTGCAGGGAAAAGATAACCCTACAAGGGATTGGGCCAAGCCCCAAATTGGAAGGCCTTATACGGCCTACAGCCCTAAACCCTAAACCCTAAACCCTAAACCCTAGTGGCACCGGAAGAGGTCCTTCACCCACTTCTTCGTCTCGGCGTCCTCCGAACTCTCGAACTGGGCATAGGCCCCTTTGTCCTGGACGCTGAGGTCTTCAGGAGTTCCGGTTTAGAAGTTCCGGTTTCGGGTTTTTGGGTTTCGGGTTTTTGGGGTTTAGGGTTTTTTGGGTTTCGGGTTTTTGGGGGTTTCAGGTTTTTGGGGGTTTAGGGTTTTTCGGGTTTAGGTCTTTAGGGTTTAGGGTTTTTAGAGGTCTCCAGGCTTTGCGGTTTCTAGCAGTGTTTGCGGCCATCAGCACTGTTTCTGCAACCCTTTGGTGTGCCGACAGTTTACCTAAAGTTTGGCTCGGGGTCAGGAACTGTCAGGGAGGGGGGGGGTTTAGGGTTTAGGCTTTAGGGTTTGGGGTTTAGAGTGCGAGGGTGCGACCTTCTCAAGGCCCACGAAAGACTTGCCCTTCCGAAGCCCTCGTGAATCGCCGAACGCTTGGAATAAAAAACCCTTGAGCTGAGCTTTGGAACCCAGAAGCCCAGATTCAATGCCTGCCGTTAAAGAACTTAAAAGGTTCCATTGGAGAGCACAGTTCGAGAACCCCTACCCCAGCCTAAACACTCAACCCTGAGCCCTAAGCCCTAAGCCCTAAGCCCTACACCCTACACCCGACACCCTACACCCTAAACCCTAAACCCTAAACCCTAAACCCTAAACCCTACCACAAACAAGTCTCGATCCCCTGAAACTGGCAGATCACCCAAAAAAATGGGGTTTCTTTCTGCTCCAGGCTTCGGAGCTCAGGGGGCTAAGCCCAAACCCTAGATACCCTTAATCGATGCCCTGAATACCCTTTTAGGGTTTGGGGTTTGGGGCAAGTGCTGAACCCTAAATGCCCTAAAAACACTATCACGAAACCCTCGGATCAGAATTCGACTCCCTCATGCTCCACAAGCCCAGCGGCGTGCCAAGGGTAGAAGGAGTGCAGGCGGATCATGTTCAGACCATGCTCGGGGATGGTGCAGCCATTGAACTTCAGCATCCGGTACATGTACCTGGGCAAAATTACCCCCTAAACCTTACAAGCCCCAAAGCCTGAACCCTAAGCATTTAAACAGCCTAAACCAAGGAATCATGAACCCGAAAAGACCAAAACCCCAAACCCTATACCTGAAATCCTACACCCTAACCCTACCTTGAAAGCAAACAAAAAGGAGCTCGCGGGCTCAGGGGCTACCCTCCCTGACGGTTTAGGGTTTTTAGGATTATGCTTCTTCTTCTTCTTCCAACAATTGCAATTCAAAAATCCCAAACACTGCGGCTAGGGTCTAAGGCCTAAGGTTCAGGGTTTCGGATTTCGGGTTTCGGGATGGGGGGCCAAGGTTTATAGGGTTTAGGGTTAAAAGGCCAAGGGGTTGTTTCTTGCCGTCTTACTACTTCTTCTTCGGGTTTGCGGCTTGCGGCTCAGTGTATATGGTCGAACCTAAGGTAATTCTTCATGCCGATAGGTTAGGAAGGATCCAAGCTCTGAAGCAACGTGAGGCGGGTAAGTGCACGACAATGCAGTAAAAATGGGTCGGAATAATAACTAAAATGCTCCCTTATGGTCCCCATTCTACATATACCACAATCACCCCCCAAAAACCCTATTCTAACTATTCAGGCCCCTGTAGCAACCTCTTGAGAAGAACAGCCGTGGGTATACTCCAGATTGCACGGGGCCACTTGGAGGTTGAACAAAACGCTTCTGGGGGCACCCTAAACGCCACCTCCTAATCCCTAGCGAGGTTCCGGGTGACAATCCTAAACCCTTATGGCGGAAAGAGCAAGTTCACTTTCAAGGTCCGTCTATAGTCCCTACCTAGGGTTGAGTCAGGAAATTACAAGGGACGTACTTGCAGCTTCATAAGCGGCTGTGAACCTCCAAGCACTTTACAAAAGCAAACGAGGGACTCGTCATGGCCCCAAGAGAACATCAGCTTCGTGATGCCGCATCCCGGCTTGTACATTCCATTCCTCTGCGGCAGGGGTGCTTCGAGCTTAGGGCGCCCAATCCCATACCCTAGACCCTTACGGCTTCGGGTGTATGATTTTGAGGTTGATTTCATCTCAATGCTCGTCCCTCTCAATGAGTGTTCGCTAAGCGTTTAGGGTTTAGGGTTTAATGTTTAGGGTTAAGCGCCGCTAGACTCGTGACATCTGCCCATACTCGGGGTGTCAGGTGCTCAGAAGTTCATGGGTAGTCACAACTGGAGCGTTCTGTGGGCCAGCTCTGGTTCTAACCTTAGTTTTTTGATACTGTCCATACGTAGTGGGATTTATATAGGGTTGAGGGGAATTGTTGTTATTCTGGAAAGAGATAAAGTTCTTCTTCCGTGTGAAAAACCTGCAACATCAGAACCCTGATGGTGCCTGCTTTCAGGAAAGGCATCTCTCGGGTTTAGGGTGTTAAGTTGTATGTAGGCTTAACAACCTAAACACTGAACCCCTAGAACCCTACTAGGGTTCAGGGTTTAGGGATTAGGGTTTAGGGTTTCAGGGTTTCAGGGTTCTAGGTGCCTCGAATCAGGCTCTAGAACCGGCGATCACCATCTTTTCAGTCCTCTCCCTACTGATGAGGTCCCTTTCCAGGTACCCTAAAATACAAGGCTCTGCTGGTTGATAGGAACCCCAAAAGGGAGCCAAACCCTAAACCTTAAACCCTAAACCCTAAACCCTAAATCCTAAACCCCAAACTGCGTGAGCCCGGGGCGGAGCGGGGCGAAGGCACCGAAGACGAGGGCAGACGAAGGAGCTTTAGGGTTATTTAGGGTTAGGGTTTAGGGTTTAGGGTTTAGGGTTTAGGGTTTAGGGTTTAGGGTTTAGGGTTTAGGGTTTAGGGTTTAGGGTTTAGGGTTTAGGGTTTAGGGTTTAGGGTGTAGGGTGTAGGGTGTAGGGTGTAGGGTTTAGGGTCTCCAAGATCAGGAGCCCTCAAGCTAGAGTCTCCAGGGCCTCTAAGGCGTGCCTTCGAGCAGGAGCAGGGCGTATCAGCTAGACCCAAGAGTAACCTGGCAATGAACAGGGTACGTACCCCTTTTTGGTTTAAAGGGGCTTGTAAGGGACCCTAAACACTGAAAAAAGGGAATCAGGGCCTACTTCGGGTCCTACTATTGACAAACATGAGCACGATAAGAATGCAAGGGTCGAGGGAAACTGTCTCATAAAGCGGGTGGGGATACACGACCCGTCGTGGCGCGCGCTTGCTTGCTTGCGTGCGCACGCTTGTGCTGGCACAAGGGCATTGAGATGGCCCTCAACACCAAACCCTCAACCCTATGTTAATGGTTTAGGGTGTGGCGGGTTTAGGATTTAGGGCTTAGGGTTTAGGATCCAGGTGCGCCGTTCCAGCGGCTGCGGCCGGGTCTCTTCGTGCCGAAGACGGGATGCTTGTAGTCAGGGTTGTCGTGAAATGCCTCCCATGGAGCCGACCAAAAGCGCAGGCAGAGACCAGGCATCAGCCACAGATGCAGATACAAACAAAGACGCTGAGAGAACCCACACACAAAACCACACAAAACCACACTACCAAAACCACACCACCAGACTACCTCACAGCCAACACACGGAGACTGAGACACACTCACACAGACTAGACCCAAGAGCAACCCTATGAATAAAAACGGGGCCCTTTTGGTCTAAAGGACCTAAACCTAAACCCCCCCTTCCCCCCTCCTCCCCACCAAAAAAGGGAATAAAGGCCTACTCTGGATCGTAGCAGAGACACGTAGACGGGCCCTGCAAATTAGCAAACTCCAGTCACCTCTTGGGTTCAAATCGCAATAGGTTAAGGAGCTTCATACATCCTCCAATCCCCAATCCCTAGCCCTAAACCCTAAACCCTAAACCCTAAACCCTAAACCCTAAACCCTAAACCCTAAACCCTAAACCCTAAACCCTAAACCCTAAACCCTAAACCCTAAACCTGTGTGGTTGGGCCACCTCTGGGAACACGACCGCATCTTCGGCGGGGGCGCAGCCGACCGGAAAGGTGTCTCCCACCACGGCCCACTGCGGCAGCGCGTCCTCCAAGAAGCCTACGTGTCCTAAACCCTAAACCCTAAACCTTATACCCTAACCCCTAAACCCTAAACCCTGTAGGGTTTTGGATTTTGGGTTGCTTCGGAAAAAGGTAGTATAATATCCTCAGCCTCAACCCTAAACCCTAAACCACCCAAGCTAAACGCAACTTCTGACATCTGCTTTGCATGAAACACCTCACCTCCGTGCATCGTCTGCAGGTGTAGGGCCTTGGGGTTTGGGAGGAAAACGCTGCCTGCAACTCTACTTCCCTAGCACTGGAGTTCAGTGCTAGTCATTACCTCTGGGGTGGCATAACCCTAAACCCTAAACCGTAAACCCTGAACCCTGAACCCTAAACCCAAAAATGTGTAGGTAAAGAGAGCCCGTGGTGGAACCTAAAACCCTAAGCCCCATCCCCAAAACTGCCCAAAACCGAAACCTACATAAGCATGAGTCCCCCCAGGCCCTAAACCCCCTAAGCCCCAAACCCTAGATCTGCACCAACAAACCCGTAACCTCCAACCCTAAACCCTAAACCCCAAACCCTAAACCCTAAACCCTAAACCCTAACCCCAAACCCTAAACCCCAAACCCTAAACCCCAAACCCCAAACCCTTAACTCGAAGGCCCCAATAAGGTGACCCAGGGAGTGCTCTGGGGGACGTCAGAACCCCCCCCCCCTCTCCTTCCCCGCCAACTTCGGCAAGGCCATCACCTCGGGTCGGATTTTTGATTTTCACTTAGGGTATAAATAGGGTTGAGGGTTTAGCGGTTTAGGGCTTAGGGGTCAATTGGGGTTTACCATTTAGGGTTTAGTTAGGGTTCATTTAGGGCCTAATTGGGGTTTAGTTACGGGTTTTTTTTAAGTCTATTTAGGGTTTAATTTGGGTATTTGGCGTTTAGGGTTTAGGGCTCAGGGTGTATGCTCTTTCTTTCTTTCTATCTTTGTCTGGTCTTTCTCTCTTTCCCCTCTCTCTCTCTTTTGTTCAGGGGGCCTTTGGGCTTAGGGTTTCGGGTTTGGGCGATTCCTAGTTTGAGGCTCGTCATAAACTCTTGGGGCCAAGATAAACCCTCCAAAAGCGCTATGGGCCCCCTAAGGCTTAGGGTCTAGGGTTTAGGGCTCTTCGCCCCAAGCTTATGTAAGTCACTGCTTCCGCGCCAAGTCTCTGCAAACCTCAAACCCCAAACCCCAAACCCTCAACCTCAGACTTTGGCCAAAGCTACCTTGCCCAGGTCGTGCAAGAGGCCCACGAGATGGAACCAGTCAAATTCCTGGCGCCCACTGGGGGCTGAGGGCTAAGGGTCTTGCTCTACAGTTGCACCGGTTTAGGGTTTAGGGTTTAGGGTTTCGGGTTGTGAACGGTGCCTCTTTGAGGTTTGAGCTTCCCTAGCCCATAGGGTTCAAAGCCGAAGAGCCAAAACCACACACGCCATGGACCGATTGGTCTAGTACAAAAGAGAGCCAATCTTAGCTGAGCACGCCCGCAACCCCAAATTTCTATACCTTAAACCCTAAACTCTAAACCCTATACCCTAAACCCTAAACCTTCGACCTTAAACCCTAAACCCTAGACCAGTACCAAGATAGGCAACGCTTTAGTGGCCGAAATTGGCCCTGCAAGGAGAACTCCAGCAGGGTTTCTAGGGTTGAGGACTAGTAAGACGTACCTTGCCCTTAGAGTATCCGCAATATGAATGTAGCACCAAAATAGTCAAGAGGGGGATTAGGTTTGGGGCGGGTTGTGGATGGTAGATTCGGTTTAGTGACAAAAAATAAGGTAAGCTCATGTCAGAAGACTAAAGCCGGAACCCCAAACCCTGACCCTGGAACCTCCCCAGGCCACTGCTCGCGAATGCGCTCTGCAGTTTGGAAGTCATGAATGCCTCGGGCTGTCATTGAACAGTGGCTGTGGGCTTACGGCTTTGGGCTTAGGGTGTGGGGTTTAGGGCTTGGGTACGGGGTTAGGGTCTCAGAACGCCTTGACCCCCAAAGGCAGTCCCCGGTTGGGGGTACGTTGGGTTTTCTCACACTTGTATGCGAAGCATTCGATTTCGTACCGGGGGCGGCATACACGGTCTGAGGGTTTAGGGTCTAGGGTTTAGGGTTTAGGTATCCGAGTACCCCTATTTTTGAAGCCTCTATATCCCAAGGTAAGGGACCATATTCAGGGACACTGTAACTACCATGTCCTGAGCCTGATCCGGCAAACTGACGGTCCGTGTAGAACCCAATGACAACAAGCTCTAGCTGAGTAACCCAAAACCCTAAACCCTAAACTCCGGAACTGCGTTCTAGGGGGTCCCAAAACGTGTCCCCTCCAGTCTTGTAGTCAGAGAAGAGGTCGATAGGGGTTTAGGGTTTAGGGTTTAGGGTTTAGGGCTAGGCTCCCCACTGACCGAGGTGACAAAAGGGTTGGGGGCTTTGGGTTTAGGGGTCGAGGGAGCCAAAGCCCCCAAAGAAGGAAACGGGTGCGACCGAGCTGCATGTGGGTTTAGGGTGTAGAGTTTTGGGGCTTCACTCCACCCATCTGCCCACGAAGCCTCTAAACACACTGGGGGGGGGGGGGGGCGGGGGGCACCCTAGCAGCGTTCAGAACCCCCCCTTCGCAAAAATGATCATCCCCATATTGCTCCGATAAAGAAGTTTACTTGCATTTTTGAGGTTCTTAAGCAAGCAGTCGTCATTTTGCCAACGCTACGCTGATGTGTCATTTGCCGCTCCCGGTGCTGTTTGGGATGTCCACATCAGGATCGGAGTCGTCCACGAGCTCATCGAGCATGGTGATCACCTGAAGGCGAGCGTAGGCTCAAAGGCTTAGGTTTTTTTCGGGCTTCCGGTTGAGAGTCCCAACTCCAAATCCAAACCACCAAACAGCTGTATGTATGGGCGATTCATCATGGTGGTCACTTTTGGGTACGACTCGGAGAAGCTCTCATGACAAACACGCGCCTCCATCACTGTGAACTCGCCCTTGTTGAACTTCAGCCACTTCTCCTGATCGACGCCCGGGGCGGGCTTGACCCACAGAGTCCCAAAACCCTTCACCCTGAGCACTGAAACCCGCATTCGAAAGATAGCTCTGGGTGCAAGTCGGGTGAAGCTTCCGGGTGAGGGTAGGTGTGGGATTTGAGGGCAACGTGCGACTTATGCCGTTTATGCTGAGCTAAGAAGCTGGATTTAACTGCTGCCATTGCGGAAATCGCATGCAGAGCAGTCAACCCAACCCCAAATCAAATTATTATGCAGAATTATGCACGACTCAATACTTCTGTAGTAGTACCACCCTGTATGACTATCATTTTCTTGGTTCATGTCATGCCGTCTTCACGCAAATCCTGGCCAGAGAAACCCCCAACGCAACCCCTCGATCGAGGCCTGCTGCTCCTGCACGAACTCCACCTCAGCTTGCCAAAGCGAAAGACCGAAGTCCACTTGCCCCAAAACAGGCACTCAAAAAACCAATGTCCGTACGCCCTGACCTGTAAAACAGGTTTACGGTATAGGTTTCGGTCCCTCCTGGCATTTTAGGATTCCGGTCACGGAATCTTTGTTTTGCTAGGGTTAGCTTTAGGAGCCTTCTCACTCATTGTAGTTATGAATGTAGGTACCTGGGAATACTTCTACTGAGGCTTCCTGGAGATCATCTTTAAACCCTAAACCCTAAACCCTAAACCCTAAACCCTAAACCCTAAACCCTAAACCCTAAACCCTAAACCCTAAACCCTAAACCCTAAACCCTAAACCCTAAACCCTAAACCCGAAGCCGGACTCACGGCCAGCCAGGCCGCCGTTTGATTCCGGTGCATGAGGCCGTAGGTTGCAGCCACAGACTCTTGGCGAGGCGAGGTTTCGTAGTTTCCTCAGCTATTTCGGGGGGTTTAGGGTTTTGGGTTTAGGGTTTAGGGTTTAGGGCTAGCTCAAGGAACTTTACAGATTTTGATGTGAGGGATTCTTAAGCATATCCTCGGATAACCTCACTGCTCCAAGAACCAAGGAGTATTAGAAGCATGCCATAGGTAGGGCAGGGTTTAGGGTGGCGGGCGTAGGGAGGTTGCACTAAGTGCCCCACATGCTGGTCTTAGATTCTGGTTAAAAAGCCCACCCAAAAACATAAGCATGTTCTTCCTTATAAGGGCAAAACAGGGATGATCCTTTTTCTTTTGGGACTTTTGGGGTTCTTAAGAAAAACATAGTAGCCCGCAATTCCCTTCTAGACCCTTAGACCCATGAACCCAGAGGCGCTGAAGCCCTCCAAGCCCTGCAAGTTCGAGGCTGTCACCTCAGGAACCCTAAACCCTAAACCCTAAACCCTAAATCCTAAACCCTAAACCCTAAACAAATACTTGGGGACCCCGATAAGGGCGGAGGGTTCAGGGCTTACAGCCGTAAACCCCGGTGCTAGACCTGCGACGACCCTCGGCCAGGGTTTGGGGCATCAAGAATTTCGGCTTTGCTGTTGACATCTCCACACCTAAACCCTCGACCTTGTCCTTATCCTACTTCGTCCAGGGCCTTTGAAAAATCGGACAGCGGGTGTATGGAATGCTCCCCTGGACAGACACCCTAGCCCCCAAGCCCTGAAGCCGAACACGAAAGCCTGAGCCCACAAGAAAAGTCTCAGAAGCCCCCAACCCCTACCTGGGAGCGTCTATACCTACAGTTTATGGGTTATACTTTAACAATTCAGGAGGGTAGCTACTACTACACTGTAGGAAAAGATAGTCCCTAGTATAGACTAAACCCTGAACCCTCAGCCGTACACTCCGTGGTAAACCCTCAAGAAATGCTAGATGGGTTTCGGAAGCTGTCGCCGAACATGTTCTTCACGGGGCCATTGCCAGGGCTGTCCGTCTCCGAACTGGAGGACCTTTGTGGGACTCCAGGATTCTGAGGGTTTGGCCCTCAACCCTGTTCCACTCTTACCTCTAGACATAAACCTTCAACATCCTCGAACCCTTGGTCGGCAGAGGAACAACGGTTCCTGGGCACAGGCACGCCCCCCTTGTCATTCGAGGGTGTGGGCTTGAAGGCCGAGGGTTTAGGGCTCGACAAGCAGGGTATGGAGCCCAAGGCTTATGGATTGAGTGAACTTTGTATGTTCTTAATGCTGTGGGATTCTTGGGCGGGTGGGCATTTTCCCGTCGCTTGAAAAGCTGCTTGACTAGTGAAAGCTAGAACATGAGATGCTAAACCCTATGCCCTAAACCCTTTAGCCTAAACCCTATAAACCCAAACATGGAGTCGTAGGGCTTAGGGGGGTGTTAGGGGGGTGTCAGGGTGCGCGACTCCGGGAAACGAGATCGACCCTAACGTCCACAAGACCTGGACATTGCGGCTTAGGGTTTTAGGGCTTAGTGGAAACAAGCTTAGGGTTTAGGGTTAGGGTATAGGGTTTAGGGCACCATCCCGGTCCCCCCGACACTCTTATGATGGCCCTATGCGCATCGCACAATTGGGAAGATGTATGGTTTCCTAAGGCTTTCTGGGTCCTTATTGACAATAAACGGTTAAAGCCTAAGGGTCCATGTTCCTCAATATTGCTTAATCATTACAATAGGGTTTTGGGGAGTTTTTATATAATTATAAAGGGAGCATAAGGGAACACTATTGGTTATCATTCCGACCTCTATTACTTTAAGAACCCCCCCCCCCCCAAAAAAAAAAAAAAAAAACATATACTAAAACAAAAACATATTCTTCCTAAGGGTAATATATGGATTATTATTTTCTCATTTTTTGGAGGGGTTCTTAAGCAAATAGTAGATTGAGCGAGTAAGCTTGGGCGATTAAGCTTCAGGGAGTCGAGTTGAGCCCTAAACCCAGAACCCGAAACCCTAAACCCGAAACCCTAAACCCGAAACCCGAAACCTTAAACCCAAACCCTAAACCCTAAACCCGAAACCCTAAACCCGAAACCCAAGACCCTAAACCCTAAGAGGCCCTAAAGGAGCCCAGTGGCCCTGCTGCACAGAGCTTGTCCAACTCTGCGAGCTGCACGGTGCGTTTGAGCTTCCTTATGTGACATGGAGGATTTAGGGTTTAGGGTTAGGGTTTAGGGTTTAGGGTTAGGGTCGTTTTTTACTTACAATGGACACACCATTTAAGGGTTTGGGGCTAGGGTTTTGCCTATTTAGAAGCCCTAAACCCTGAACCCCTCTACCTTTGACCCTACGCTTGCACCCATAGGTTTGGGGGGACTCTGCTTCAGAAGTCTGCGGTTCTTAGCAGAGAATGAGGGACTTAGGTACCCATATGGCAACCCTTCAAAGGCTATGTACATTGGGGTTTAGGGTTTAGGGCTGAGGAGTGCATTCGAGGAATTTAGTTTAAGGGTTGAACCTTCGGGGTGCGAGCTTTAGGATCGCTAGATAAACTCTCATATACTTCTATTGACCCTGTGGCCCTAAACTCTATGAAAGGATTAGGGTTGGGGCGTCAGAATAGATTTCATAATTAGATTGGGGCGTCAGTGTTGATTTCATGTCTCTGGTGATTTTGTCCTTTGCTCTCCCCTAAACCCTGAGACCCGAAACCCTAAACCCTGAACCGCAACCCCTTTCTTGGACTCGGAATATCGGGCTCTACTTTGTTTATGCGTACAAACCTACAACCCTAAACCCAAAACCCCATGCTCCCAAAAGCCTTAAACTCGCAGTCGACGCCAAAACTCCCGAAACCCTTACACGTAAACACCAAGGTTCCACGAAAGTTCGGCGGCCAAAGTGGCGCGCACCACGCTGGGGTGTCGAAGCATGGCTACCTTGAGTTAAAAGGCAAAGGTTAGCTTACTTCTCCTTTTAACCTTAAGCCCTTGACCCTTAAACCCTAAGCCCCGAAATAACTCCTGCATTGCAAGATCGGGAAACCCAGCAAGCTTCAAGTTCAACTAGTGGACAAGTAAGTCAGCTTGGGGTATTGTCGGGGTGTCGGGGCTAAAAGGCTCAGAGTTTAACCATAAACCCCAAACCCTAAACCCTGGACCCCAAATCCTAAACCCTAACCCCTAAACCCTAAACCCTAAGCCCTAAACCCTAAACCCTAAACCCTGAACCCTAAACCCTAAGCCCTAAGCCCTAAGCCCTAAGCCCTAAGCCCTAAACCCTAAACCCTAAACAGAGTGGCGGTCCGGGACACCTGCTCCAACGCGTGAGCCTCGCTGCCGCGGCCGGCACGCACCAGTTCGATGAACCTTCGCTTGGGCGAATAAGGCTTACCCTAAGGGTCCATGTACCTAAATAGCTAGGCTGCCCAGTAACCAAGGCTTAAAAAGGGTGCCCTTTTTTGCTTAAAGGGGTTTATAAGGGAACCTAAACCCCCCAAAAAGGGAATAAGGGTACTACTGGGCATCCTAGATAGGGAATGCTTGGGCCTTAAGTATCTCCTATTTAGGGACTTTTGGGCCCAAGCATATAATAATATGGTACATGGACCCTTAGGGTTAGGGTTGTAAGGTTTAGGGCTTAGGGAAGCTGAGGCATTCAGGCATACGGTATATATATATATATATATATTTATATATTTAGAGAGAGCACCCTCAATAAGGTTCTAGCTACAAGTTGCATAAGGTTCTAGCCTACTGAGACATCTACTTATAAACCACCCGTGAAGTTCCAAGTGGGTGTCGAGTCGTCGAGTTTACCCTGACCCGAAAGGTTTTGAAGGGTGAGCGGTTTAGGGCTTAGAGTTTAGGGTTTCATGAACTCACAAAAGGTTTTAATGCTTGCCGACCGGGCTACTCACAGTGACAGTGAGCACTGTGTACCCTAAACCCTAAACCCCAAACCCCAAACCCCAAACCCCAAACCCCAAACCCTAAACCCTAAACCCTAGCTAGGTATCTTGGTGGTCTTGCCCCATCCCAAGCACCAGATGCCTCATCCATTCCACGCGCCACTGAAGACCCTCCGGCCAAAAAGCCTCCCAAGGCCCAAAAACCTCCAAGAAGCCAGCCCTTCTAACATGCCACCAATCCCCTAAACCCTAAACCCCAAACCCTAAACCCTAAACCCCAAACCCTAAACCCTAAACCCTAAACCCTAAACCCCAAACCCTAAACCCCCAAAACCCATCAGCAACAGGAGGCTCTGTCAGCTCGGAGTGGTAGGCCTCCGCCCAGGGTGAGACCCCAAACAAACAGTTCTTCTAAGATGGGGCCTCTGAAATATATCGGCCTTACTTAGTTAGAATAGGGTTTTGGGGGTGAGACAAGTATATATGTATGAAGGGAATTTAAGAGAATACGATTAGTAATCATTCCGACTCTTAGATAGGTGGCGGCCCAAACAAAGTCGCATAGCCGTGCACCTGAGAAGACACCAACGCATTGAAGCCTTGCTGCTTAGCGCAATGTTCCCCTTACCCTGCGACGTGCCACCTGAGCCGAAAATTTCGGGCCTAGAGGGTTTAGGCGGCGTCTTCAAAAGTAATACCACAAGGAGACCAGCCGCAAGCCCCTTGGACATTGTGAGCTAGACCCAGTACACCCTAAAGAGGTCTGGATTCAATGTCCCGGCGTTGCATAAAATCCTTGTGCCAAGGATTCAGGACCTTGGCATTCAAAGCGTTACCCCTTGGTGGCCCAGGAAGCCTTTATAAACAGTAAGGTGCCTATTGCTGTCAGTTACTTTACAAGGGAACCCAGAACGCACAAAAACCCTGGTTCTTAGTAGGGAATGAGGGAATGAGGGCCCGATATATACATATATACATATACATACCCTTTAAGGGATTATATAGAGCCCTCGTTCCCTCATTTCCCAACTAAGAACCAGCCAGAAAAGGGGAGGAGGGTGCCACTGCGCTGCCCTAAGGCCCTGCCTGCACGTAGCGCTGCGGGAAGCTGTACATGGCGGCCGGACGGAGGTGCCCCTCCGTCGTGGCCTGGAAAAGCTTTTGGGTTTAGGGTCTGGGGTCTAGGGGTTTAGGGTTCAGGGTTTAGGGTAAAACTGAAGCTTGAGGAACACCGTTTTAGACCGTAGATAGGATTGAAGGCAAAGTTCGTGGAACGATCGAGCTGCTTTGGGGAGGCTAGAAACTGTCCGGGCTTTGGGGAGGCAACCCGATAACGGATGCTTGGTGTTCTTACGATTACCATGACAAATGCTATCTTTGTTTTGATTGATGCTGTTAGAGCCGCTGTTGTTGCTCTTCTTGGTATTGCTATCGGTAGTGTGATGTGTGACTGTTTTTGTTAGTGTGCTTATGGTCATGGTTTTATTCGTGGGGGTACACGTTTATTGTTGGTTGGTGGGGTGACAAACTCGTGACCATGGCTGGCTATATACTTATTTGGAGAACTTACATACTAAACCCTAAACCCTAAACCCTAAACCCTAAACCCTAAACCCTAAACCCTAAACCCTAAACCCTAAACCCTAGGCCCTAAACCCTAAGCCCTAATACCCTAAACCCCAAACCCTAGCCGGGTTACGAGTTCCACGGTGCTCGTGAGCTCGTTGTGGGCCGTGAGCCTTGAGGCTGCCAGGGTGCACGGGACGTTTTTCTTGCTGTTTGCTTCTGTGTTGATCTTTGGGTACGCGTCGGTGTGTGTGTGTGTGTCTATGCATGTCTATGCGTGTCTATGCATGTCTATGCGTGTCTATGCGTGTCTACGCATGTGTATATGCGTGTCTACACGTGTCTACGCATGTGTATATGCGTGTCTATGCGTGTCTACGCGAGCGTATGCGTGTCTGTGTGTGTGTGTGTCTATGCGTGTCTATGTGTGTCGATGCGTGTCTATGCGTGTCTATGCGTGTCTACGCGTGTCTACGCATGTCTATGCGTGTCTATGCGTGTGTATGCATGTCTCTGTCTGTGTGTGTGTGTGTATGGGTGGGTGGGTGGGTGGGCGGGTGGGTGCGTGGGTGCGTGGGTACGTGGGTGGGTGGGTGTGTGGGTGGGTGGGTGCGTGGGTGGGTGTGGGTGTGCGCGTGGGTTTGGGTGGGTGGGTGGAGGCCGTTCTCGTTTCGGCTTGCATGACTTGCTTTTTGTGTATGTACATTTGTTTTGTTTTTTTTTGGGGGGGGGGGGGGGGCGAGTTGCGGTGCTGCGTCCTACAAGTCCCAGAGCACCAGCAAATGTCCTGATAGCAGATCTCAGATGAAGACCTGAATCTTGCACCCACCCTAGAGTACAAAGCGGCTCCTAGTACGGGATACCTATACCTCTGATTGCCCGATCAACCAGTGAGTCAGACGGGCATGCTTCAGCTACGCGGCATTCCCTTCTCCCCGAAGACCTCGATGCGTTGGTCCTTGGCAGCCCGTAACCAGATTATAACAGGGGCACCCTTTTTTGGGGGTTTAGGGTTTAGGGTTTAGGGTTTAGGGTTTAGGGTTTAGGGTTTAGGGTTTAGGGTTTAGGGTTTAGGGTTTAGGGTGACTTTACAAGGGAACCCAGAACCAAAAAAGTGCAAAAAAGGGTGCCGCTGGGCTCCCAAGGGTCATAACCGTACGCCGCATCGCGGCTGGTGTCAACCATGGCCAGCATGCCATTTTCGTACCTTCAGTTGGGTTCAGGGTTCAGGGTTTAGGGTTTAGGGTTGAGGGTTGAGGGTTTAGGGTTTAGGGCTTAGGGTTTTCAGTAGCCAAAACAAGTCAGCCCTTGTCGAACCCTAAGCCGGGGCCTGTAAGTTGTCTACTGAGTATGTGTTTGCTCGCAACTAAGGCATGGGTCGGATGGGGGTAATGGTGTCGGGTCTTCGGGCTGCTCAGACTGAAAAACCCTACAAGCCCTGGGCCCCTTTCAACCCCCAATCCCCAACCTAAGCCTTGACAGGAGAAGTTCAGGCCCTAAACCCCAAACCCTAACCCCTAAGCCCTAAACCTGAACCCTCAACCCTAAAACCCAAAACCCTAAACCCTAAACCCTAAACCCTAAACCCTAAACCCTACGCCTCTTAAGCCCTAAACCCCGAGTTGGGTTGGGGGGGGGGGGGAGGGAGACACACTGTGGCTTGAATCCTCCAACACCCCCTAAACCCTTAGCCCCTCGACACCTGAATCCACTCAGGCCTTGGTTGCTGCGGGTAGTTGAAAGTAATATAGGGTCGGAACAATTCCTAATGATATTCCCTTATGGTCCCTTTATAATTGTACTATAAAACCCCGTTCTAATTATTCAGGTCCCTATATTGCGCTCAGATACTTGCTAGCTACGACTCGAGTTCATTGATCTTTACAGCCCTAAACTCTACTCATAACTACCCTAAACCCTAAACCCTAAACCCTAAACCCTAAACCCTAAACCCTAAACCTCAAACCTCAAACCCTAAACCCTAAACCCTAAACCCTAAACCCTAAACCCTAAACCCTAAACCCATCCACCTCCAGGGAGGCAAGGGTCTTGAACATCACCGCGCATGTGTCGATGTCGTTCATCTTCTGGATCTCCGGGTTGTAGCAATGCCTCAGGAATTTAGTGTTTAGGGATTAGAATAGGGTTCAGGGTATAGGGTATAGGGTTTAGGGGTTTAGGGTTTAGGATTTAGGGTTTAGGGTTGGGGTGTTCCCCCTTATACGAACTGTCCTGAATAGGGATTCCAGTACCCCTACTATATAATCCCTATGAAGGACTGTTAGAAGAAAGGGGGAACATCCCCCGTTTAGCACAACATGAGCCCCCGGACTACGTAGCGTCTCTTCGCAGGAGACTGCCGGCATTCCCTGCAGTCGTCCGCCAAGCCCTATAGAAGCCCTAAGCCCCAAACCCTAACCCCTGCTTCCTTATGGGGACCTGCGTCCGAAGGTGCATATGGGACGCCACTGACTCCTCACACCCAAAACTCCTCCCAGGAGACTAGAACGATGATCTGATGAAGATTCACCTACGCAAAGGCTACAAAAATCCCCCCCCCCCCCTCAAAAATCCCCCCCCCCCCCTCGCCACCCCCCCCCCCCCCCCCCCCTCGCCACCCCACCCCCCCCACCCCCCCCCCCCCCCCCCCCCCCCCCCCAAAAAAAAAAAAAAATGCACGTCCAAGGGCCCGATGGCTGTGACTGATTCCGGCTCCTGCTCGGAACAGCTTGTGCCACAAGCCCTAAACCCTAAACCCTAAACCCTAAACCCTAAACTTTAAACCCTAAACCCTAAACCCTAAACCCTAAACCCGAAACCGCAACTTCAAAAGGTCCCAGGGGCCAGCATTTAGGGTTTGGGGATTCGGGTTTAGGGTTTAGGGAGGTGAACCTGGAGACGCACCCCGCAGCTCCCCCTGAAGGAAAGCTCTCCTCACCATTGGTCAGGAAATTCAGCATGTCGAAATCGTGAATCCTGGGTTGTCTCAAGCAGGTCAACTTGAAGGTCTGCAGCAGAAGTTCTTGCTGGGGGGCACAGGTCCCTACACCTTCAACCCTAAACCCTAAACCCCAAACCCTGAACCCTAAACCCTAAACCCTGAACCCTAGATGGGTTTTTGATGGCCTGCTCAGACGGCCCAGAACCGCACTTCGGATGCGAACCTCGAGCCACACTGCGCTGCTTAAGGTTTTTGGAGGGTTTAGGGTTGCTTAGGGTCTCGGGGTTCAGGTTTAGGGCCTATAAGGGCTAGGGTTTATAGGGTTTATAGCGTTTATAGGGTTTATAGGGTTTACAGGGTTTATAGGGTTTATAGGTTTGCTGGGGTTTATAGGGTTTACAGGGTTCCGGGCTTGGGTTTTTTTTGTATGAGGGTGCCGTGCAGTAGATGGTCAGGTCTCTAGACGCACCATGCAAAGCGGGCCCAACTGACCATCACTCAGAGATCTCTCAAAGTCCGGCATTTTAGGTTTAGGGTTTAGGGTTTAGGGTATAGGGTTTAGGGTTTAGGGTTTAGGGTTTAATTGAGGGTTTAGGGTTTAGGGTTTAGGGCAGACGTTTTGTGAGTGGGGCACAAGCTCTGGAGGATAAAGGGCGTTAAGGCGGGGGCGTGTCTTTAGCAACCCAAGGAGTGACAAAGGCAAGCTAGTCAGCAGCCAAAAAACTCCCCCAAACCTTAATCCCGAAACCCGAAACCCCAAACCCTAAACCCTAAACCCTAAACACTAAACCCTAAACCAACCCGAATAGCCCTAAACCCTAAACCCTAAACCCTAAACCCTAAATCCGAAATCCCTAAACCCTAATAGCCCTGATCGCCGGAGCACAGCATGTCGTGGAAGATGCCACCGCTGGTGCGAAGGTACTCCAACCTCAGCTCCCGGTTTCGGGGGCTGGGGCTCTCATGGTAGGGTTTAGGGTTTAGGGTTTAGGGTTTAGGGTTTGGGGTTTGGGGTTTAGGGTTTAGGGTTTAGGGTTTAGGGTTTAGGGTTTAGGGTTTAGGGTTTAGGGTTTAGGACACATGTGGGGTTTGGGGTTTGCCAAAAGCTGAAACCCTGCCATAGACCTTAAGCTCTAGTAGCGCTTGAGAAGACTCGAAGCTGCGCCACCCCGGGGCTGAAATACAATGTGGGTCGTGTCTGTAAAATAGTTCAAGGCCCCCAAGCCTTTGAAAAGAAAAGGCAAGATTAGCTGCCAGCCCTACGCCAGTTTAAGGCTTAGGGGCTCAGGGCTAGAGTTGGGGTTTGGGGTTTGGGGCTTAGGGCTTAGGGTCTACGGTTTGGTGTTTTTGGGGTTTATAGGGTTTAGGGCTTATAGGATTTATAGGGTTTAATAGGGTTTAATAGGGTTAATAGGGTTTATAGGGTTTAAAGGGTTTATAGGGTTTATAGGGTTTATAGGGTTTATAGGGTTTATAGGGTTTACAGGCTTTAGGGGTCCAGCAAGAGTCACACCCGTGGCTGGCTAGCAGCGGCGGGAGCGGGTTGTCGCGGCTGCAAGTCTTCACGACCTTCATCTTGCCTGGGGTTTAGGGGCTTAGGGCTTAGGGTTTAGGGGTTTAGGGTTTAGGGTTTAGGGGTTTAGGGTTTAGGGTTTAAGGTTGGGATGTGTCCCCCTTATACTACCAGCCCTTAATAGGGAACATGACAGGGGGTACTAGCATGCCTGTTAAGGACTGCTAGTAGTGAGGGGGAAGATCCCAAGTTTAAGGGTTCATGTGGTTTCGGGTGTTTAGGGGTATGAGGTTAGGGTCTATGCGTTTTGGGGTGTCGAATGCTCCTGTGTTGGGTATTTGGGGATCAAGTCGAAGGCGGTAGAAAAGAGGTGAGACGAGAACAAAGAACCAGAGGGGTGCCCAACAGCCCAAGCCCTGAGCCATAACGGTAAACGTGTCACCCCAGGAGCCTCTCCTTGAATCCTACTCGGAGGTTCATGCTACTTCTTCACCAATTCTGATTGTACTCATAACTATACTTCTAACCCATATTAGGGCACTCAAGGGGCTTAGAAGTGGGGTTATAAGTACCGTTATAATTGGTTAACAAGTACCATGAACCTCCAGGTACTTCTTGTCATTCGCTACTTCTAGCATCCATCAACTCTAGGGGCTTTTACCGTGGACCCCTAAGGTTGTTCCCCGTAAATTTTGGGGGACCCTTTTTCAAGATCCTCCAAGGTAGTATAAGGGCCATATTGGGAGTATATTAAGGGGAACCTTGAGGGGTACAACCTTCGGGATAGGCGTCTCAATCCCTTGAACCAAGGCAGCCGAACCAAATCCACACTCAAGCTGAACGTCGCTAGACACGGAAAAAAACCGACCTGCTCCAAGACACACTCTTCATTCATGGGGGGGCCCCTTTTGTGCGCCGTTCTGGCAAGTTCCTAGAAATTGGCTTTGGGGTTTAGGGTTTAGGCCTTGGATTCAAAGCACCACTCCCCCCAATTTCGACCTTGAGCGCACTCTGCACCTAAACCCTAAACCCTAAACCCTGAACCCTAAACCCTAAACCCCAAACCCCTAAATCTCTACCGACCTCTGTCTGAGTTGCCGATGGCTCCGGCTTCCAGCTGCTGCTTCAGCGCTCGGAAGTTCCGGTCCTGTCAGTGCCGAGGCTCCCAGGTCATTGGGTTTTAGGGTTTAGGGCTTGAGATTTAGGGTTTAGGGCTTGAGATTTAGGGTTTAGGGTTTGGGGTTTTAGGGTTTTAGGGTTTTGGGGTTTTGGGGTTTTAGGGTTTTAGGGTTTTAGGGGGTTTACGGTTGAGGGCTTTAGGCTGTTAGGGGAAGGGTTTAGGGTTTAGGGTTTGGGGTTTAGGTTTTAGGGGTTTAGGTCGGGGTCAAGGGGCTTAGGGTTTAGGCTTTATGGTTTAGGGGAGTATTCGGGGATGCCGGTCATTCGGTTTTAGATTTTTAGGGCTTCAGGGGCTCAGGGTTGGGTTTGGGGTTCAGGGTTTAGGGTTTGGGGTTTAGGGTTTCAGGTTGAGGGTCACGAAACTTTGCTCCCATTGTAGGTACGTACCCGAAGGGGCTCATCAGGTAGATGGCTGGCGATTATAGGGTTTAGGGTTTAGGGTTTTGGGATTAGGGTTTAGGGTTTAGGGTTTAGGGTTTTGATGAGTAGCTACCACTGGAGTTTTAAGTATGGCGACTATAGCTATGACTGGTTAGATGTGGGACACTTGCTCTTCAGACCACGGTGCAAGAACACCAGCAACCCACTCTGCAGGAACAAGCAACCCTCAACCCTGAACCCTAAACCGCAATGTCGGTCCCATCGGCGCTGGTAGCCGCAGACGAACCTCCGTGCTTGCAAAGGGTTTAGTTCAAGAGGGAACCCACCACGAGACTCCCCCCCCCCCCCCCCCCCCCGCCTGGGTTCATGGCCAGGGTTAAGGGTTTAGGGTTTGGCCAGGGGTTTATGACTATAGGGTTTGGGATGCTCTCCCTTATACTGACAGCCCCTAATGGGAAATGTGAACCCTAAACCCTAAACCCTAAACCCTAAACCCTAAATCCTAAACCCTATAATCTAATCCCTATTAAGGAGGCCACATCCCAACCTACAGGCTCGGGGTCTCTAGAGCTGCCTCCTGCGCATTTCATGGTACCTAAAGCAGCAACCTGGGGGTTCTGCAGGTCGGGTCTGAGGGCTTTTAGGGTACTCGGGCTTGAACGAGGATGGCCCTTAGAACGATCTTGAGAAGTATTCCAGAACATGATCCTCGTAAACCCAAGAAGGGAGAATTGAGAGTTAAAGACATCTCTGAACCCTAAACCCCAAACCCCAAACCCTAAACCCCAAACCCTAAACCCTAAAAGTGCCTACCTAGCTTTCGGTTCAAGTCCAGAGCCTGAACCAAAGAATTGACTTCGAACAAAGAAGACCTCTGCGAATTTGCAAGGCCAAGCCCTCCCTACGCCCTAGACACCACAGCGTCGCTGCATGCAAGAAAGCTTAAACCCTAAACCCTGAACCCTAAACCCCAAACCCCAAACCCCTTAACCGAAACCCTAAACCCCCCTGAACCCGCACTGCAGCCAGGGGCGGAAGGTTCCGGCCCTTGGCCAAATCTACGGCGTCAATCACCTTGCAGCTCTACAGTTTAGGGTT